TACTTTTAACCACTGAAACAAATTGGGTTTTTTTTAAACTCTATATTAAAAACATATCTAATAATACATTTGTCACATTTTCCCCTCAGAATATCATTCAAATCACCTCTCATCACACATGAGCCCACACTGATTTAACGCTGTTAACTTTAAATCACACTTGCCCTCCGTGCAGACAGGAAGCGCTCAGTTGTTACTCATGAACTTTGGTATAGCAGGACTTTATGAAGAGGAAGATGAAGAACGAGTCTTTCGAGGTGCAGAAGTTTCCCTTCTGAAAGTTCAGCCCATTACTCTATTCCTCAAACTGTGCTCTGAAACTTTCCTAGATTACCAGGCACTCTGACATACTCTTCACTTCAGCTTACATCCTGTATTATTTTGACAACAGGGCCTGGAAAATTCACTGTGAATTTTGCAGAAATGAAAACTTGTCCTACGTAAGGCGAGGGAGGGATACTTAGTTTCAAATGTGCAGTCGATCAAATCAGGACGTAAACTGAAAGATGGTTAATCCAAGGTGTGTAAAAATATGTAACACATGAAGCTTCTATTCAATCATTTATTTAGGCTTGTGTGAGATGTCACACACAGTTATACAGTTAAAATGGTCGATACATGTTTTAAAGTCCAGTCTAACCCAAATCAATATATTCTATGTATAATGAGATGATAAGAATTAATTCAGACTCATAAAAAGAAAGAAAACAGCTGTGTGAAGATTGTTCTCCCCTGATCTTGTGATTGCAATTCAAACCGCCTCAAGGGGGAGTTTTAAAAATGAGGGGGAAAAAAAGAGTTCGATTGGCGAGTTGCTGCAAATTACTAAAGTACAGTACAGTAAATGAACCGTAAATAACCAACTGTACACTCATTAAATCCCAGATACCAGACATAAAAGAGTTACTCATGTGTGTGCTTTGAAATGTAGTGATTACTCAACAGGAAGCAGGGTGTGTTGATGCTGGTGGCATTAGTGAAAACATTCAGCACCCACACCAACTCAAAGATGTGACAATCCTCACGTTCACAACATCTAACCTTTCACCTCTATCACATCCACCCCCCCCCCAAAAAAAAGTTATTCCAAAACAAAGAAAGTGATTGTCTGGCATGTGTGTATTTCGGTCACAGATGCAGCGCTGCATCAGAAAATAAAGCTCACAATCACGCAACTGTTTTTCCACAGTTGCTGTGAAGAAAACATAAACAATAACCCAAAAGAACACAGTGGTGATATGCTGTGGTTAGGGAGGCAGGTCGAGCTTTGTTTACATGTATGTCCTAGACCACGTCATGACTCTGTGATGTCAAGAGGAAGGATGCGGGTCCTTCAAGCGCACTAAGAGGGGAAGCACCAGCTCCAAATCTCAAAGCATTTATACGCTATGACCTATATGCATGTAATAAGCCTATGACAGTGGAGTGACAGAGATGTCAGTGACGGTTGGTGCTCCGCTGTAGCAGCAGGGGGGGGGGGACGGTGGGGGGACGGAACAGGAAGAGGAACTGCTCACGGGTAAAGCAAAGACATCATACTGTGACTGACACTCTGCAGTTTAATGAAAACAACAACAACAACAGCATTAAATACGTTACTGGTATATTCTAGAGCAACAACACTTATCAGAGTTTATGTAATGGGTAACACATGGGCCGATGAAAGGGATGAAGAAGTACTCCAAAAACCACTATGTTAATAAAAACTCAGCTTTCAAAGTCTTACATCATTTCAGAAGGAATATCAGCAAAATATATCTAAATTAAAGTGAAAGAACTCGATTTGATGAAAGAATCGCCTTCTTCCACTGATAGAAGTAAATATTACATTTGTATTTTTGGAGAGACAGGACAGTAGATAGAGTCAAGGGACAGAGAGAGAGTGGGGAATAACATGAAGGAAAGGAGCCACAGGCCGGATTTGAACCCGGGCCGCCCGCTTTGAGCACCACAGCCTCTGTACATGGGTCGAAAAAACTAACCGCTCAGCCCCTGGCGCCCCTAAAGTATAAGATTGTTAATTATGTTGTGTATACCTGAATATAGATGTATTACCGTAGATGGCTGAGTTGGATAGTGTTCTCCGCTGCTTCTGATCGGGCCCTCCAAAAGGGTCTCATGAAATATATTTTAAAAAGGAAATGATTATTTAATCTATCCTTTAATTGAAAATGTTGTTGTTTTTGTTGTTAGGCCTTGAACAGCTATTTATATCAAACCATCTGAAAGGCTTCAAAGGTAAATCTCCAAAAGGTTGTGAATCTCAAGAGAATAGTTCAACGTTTGGGAAATGTTCTTTAAACTAGTGTTCACACATACCCAAAACTTCACTAAATGTTTCAGGACGAGCTGCATGTGTGCATGTTTTTTTTTTCCAAGTCAAAGGTGACAAATTCTGCAGCGTGTGTTGACACATACTGACGCAAACTGAACATTTCAGTTTCAAGTGTTGCGTATGTGCGCAAACACCGCAAGACTGACCGAGACCCGGACGCTGGACAGTTTTTAAATGCAGGACGTGCTTTGAAGTTATTGGCGAGAATCTATTACACAACCAAACTGCAGAGCTGCCAAAGATACTGATTCTTTCATATTTCTCCTTCATTTTTAGGTTCAGAGCTGCGTACTAGTAGGTGGATTTTTTTTATACCAAGGCCAGGGCCAGGCTAGCTGTCTCCGCCATGTTTCCAGTCTTTATGCTAAGCTTAGCTAATTTGCTGTAGTTTAGTATTTTCTGTAAAGAAATTAGACAGTTTCTCCATGAAAAAGGCAAACAGGCATATTTCTTAAGTATATATTAAATATACTAAATATTACAAAAGATTTATTCAAGGGAGTTCAAGTACAATATTTTCCTTTGACATGAATTGGAGTAGAAGTACATCGTAGAATAAAACCTTTACCTTTACTGTGCACTAATTTGAGAAGATGTAATGGTTTTTTCCCACCTCTGCCTGATACTGAGAGCTGTGTAACTCAGCCCCCAGCTTTTCAAAGTTATGAAATGATAAGGACAAGAAGAAACATGGTACTGTACACCTGACAGTTTACTCCCACTTCCTGGTTTAACGCTGGCATTGTACAGCATTGTGTATTCTGTGTGTTTGTGTGTGTGTGTGTGTGCGTGACATGACTCAGCCTTTGCAGAGTCACACTTGGAAACATCCGACCCCACGAGTATTTAGGAATTTCCTGATCCTTGTTCAGCTCCTTGCGAATGATGATTTGATGATCTGCAGCGTACAAAGGAGTCACAGCTCGCCCCTCCCATCCTCACAGCTGGCCAGCTATTGGGAAGTTCCAGGTTAATGACTAAACTCAGGCCACATGCTGGAAGAGTCAGGGGGACAGGGCAGATATCCTTTTTGGTCGATTGTGAATGTGGAGTCAGCATTTTGCACCTTTTGGCTGAGTAAGAGCTCCTGTAGAATGACACACAGTAAACTTCTGACGTTGGTTCGTATTGTTTTACAAAATGTCCATTTCTCACCTAAACCCAAAAAATGTTCAGCATGTAATCCTAGTAGATGTCATACTTAGATGGCAGCTAACTTTATTGATAATAAACAAAGTCATAAAATGTCAAAAATCCTCCATCACAAACTGCATGAGTCATGATCAGACGGCCTTAAGTAACAATAGAATCAACTGTGGCTTTAAGACGACTTCCGCTCCCTGGTCACACCTTGATTGTAGTTTTCCTAATGCAGTACAGAGCAGCGTGTACCATCTTGCTTGTCTGTCCGTTTGACGTCAGCACAGCGTTTGCAGGGAGTGCTATTACTCACTCTGTTAGTTAGTTGCATTCCTGTACGTGCTAGTGTCGACCTCCTATTTCCCAAACAGGAAGTCCCAGCCAAAGACTGTTGCCAAATCATCTGTACTACACCAGTGTGGTGGAATTTACACAAGCAACCCATGTGTCTCAAGACATGTTCCCTTCCTCCCCTCAGCGTTCATCTACCATCACTGTTTTGGTCGTTACACAAACACCTAAAGCTGTATAAATGAATAGTTTGAATATTTACTTTAAAGTGGACCAGGTCTCGTTGTGGAGGGTGATTACTATTATTAATGAGAAGATCACTATTGCTTAGCTTAAAATGATTAGTGTGTTAATGAATGAAGAGCGTTATTTGTGGCTTGCAGAAACGCATTGAACCTGGTTTTGCTCATCAATTATCTCCGTGAGTGATAATTGATGAGCAAAACCAGGTTCAATGAGAAAACAGGAAAGAGTGGGCTGCAAGAAAAGCCAAGGCGTCATATTTACTGAGAGAAGCAACCAGGGAGCTTAAAGTTTCACGGTCCTACAGTGCCCCCTTGTGGTGTCTTGATCACACTAAACTCAGCTCTTTAAAGGCAGAGAAGCCAACAGGACTAACTCCAGGCACCCTCACCAGAGGCAAGAATGTCTTACTTATTCAGGGCATTTATCATAAAATCATGAATCATCGACCACACTGGGTCTTATTTAGGATGGAAGTGGGACTGCATTTTAACTACACACCTTTAAAAGTTAACTTTTTATCTTCAAGAGCACCCTGGAGTTCACAACCCTGCCACCGAGAGCGCCCAGTTTCCTTTGAAAACTCAGCTCCTCTAAAAGCTGAGTGCTGATCATGCTGAATACATTTTCTGAAACATAATAAAGGACGTGCGAGGTGCATAAGACACAGACTGAAATGTCTCCTGACATCTTTAAAAGACATTGAAGCATTTTAACGACAGGTTTGTAACTTGTTCATGTCGGAGTAATGACTGAGAATGGTTAAGTCAAAACAAAAACAATATATCAACAGTTCATTGTTTATTTAAAAAGGAAAACAACAAATGTAAATTAAAAAAATACATGTCTTTGAGCTCAGCATAAGTATAGAAAAAAAAAACAGGAAAACCTGGTGCGATGGCTGCACAGGTGCTGAGATTTAATCCCTTGCTAAAGCTGAATTAAACTTTTTTTTTTTTTTTTTTAAGAAAAAACTCAGCACACTGAAACCTGATTTTGAAAAAAATATATATTTATATCTAATAAGAGTGTGTCCCTGTAGAGGACATGAATACATTCTAAAGAAAGGTACAGCTGTCAAGACTCCCCACGGAGCCACACAGGTAAACTGAATGCTAGCATCTCAGCTAATCTCTTTTAAGGACAAACCTGTTGATTCACGAATGCAGCATGCTAAAAAAGAAAAAAAAAAAAAAAAAAAAAATCATAGAAAACAATATTGCGAGCTCAGGGCCGCGCCATGATTCAACAGATCATCACTACAGTGTTTCATTTTCATCCCTGTGCTGGTGTTTGATTTTTTGGTTCATTTAAAATCCCTGTTCAAACTCGGTTTGATTAAGTAAAGGGTGACACATTGTTTGTATTGCTGGCGAAAAAGCCTTGGGTGTTATTTCGAGAAATGGTGCTACCTTTTCTGTCCCGTTAAACTTGCACTCCTGAACTGAACACACATTACATCACAACATGAATCAGATGTATTGAAGTTCTGTTCCACATTTTGTTTTGGCCTTCACACAGGTTTGTCCACTGTCACAGTAAAGAACAGTGCCGGACGAAACCAGGTGTTACAATGTTTTCAAAAATCTGCTGATCCCTCCCACGACAATCGTAAATGCCAGGCGAACACACCACCCTCTCTCTGCACCAGCCACCAGGGAGCTTAAACACAGAGGGAATCAGGTATCCCAGTCTTCATCTTCCACATACTGTTATTGTTTTAAGTCCCAAGCATCAGTAGAGACCTCCACTGCATACCACTCACGCAAATATACACACACACACACACACACACACACACACACACACACACACTCTGTATGGTCTGTACTCTGCCTCCTGCAGCCCAACAGGGACCACCAGTGAGGACAGACAACCTTTGCATGCATCCAGCAGGCACAGGGTCGCTACCTCTGTGCTCCTCCTTAATTCATCGCTCTTCTAGGTTTCATATCGATGAATTATAAAGAAAAACTAACTATATCTCTCTTACTGGCATATTTTCATTCAGGCTGGTTAAAAATCTGGCTCCATGATTTCTGATTTGTGTCATCAAAAGAAAGTGAAATCCAAACGGTCGCCTCATTAAAGGCTGAAATGGAAGAACGCATTTGGTAAATGAGTGAGGAGACACGTGTAAAAAGGGCTGACAGGCCACTCATCCTGATTCACAGAGCACAGGAGCTAAAACAAAGCTATTTTTCCTCGACAGACTGCAATTCATACTATCTCTTGAGTCTATTTTTTTTTAGTCAGCACATGTATTTGGGATGTGACACCTGAAAAAAACCAAGGCCCTGAGCATCCAAGATGACTTATTGATAAAAGTTTTAGTTGGTAATTGGCAGCCTTCGGTCTCCAACTAGCCGACCCCTCACACTGCATTTTGTAAAATAAACAAGTGAAGCTGAAAAGTCCAAATAACCCGCCCACTGTACAGTCAAAGCAGGCTGATTGGTCAATCTAGTCCACTTTGCGACATCAGTGGAGAGACAGTGAGGAACCAAAATGAGGCAGAGGGAGAGACATCAGTGGAAATAGGCTCGATAGCAGACGTAAGCACTGAGAGCCAGTGCTGTGCACAGGCACACGTTGGTGAGTAGCGGGGACCAGGTCTCCGGCACAGGAGAGCTTTCCTCTGGCTGCTTGGCTGACTCAGGCAACTCCTGATCCTCGGACTCGAGCTGCTGCTGGGATTTGGTCGGAGCTCTCCAGATTTGATCATGGATTTCCACATGACCATCGAGCTGGTCCGCGTGTCAGGAGGAGGCTGAGGGGCAGCGACGTTCCTCTTTCTCAGTTCTGGCTCTTCTGGCTCTTGTGAGGACCTGGTAGGGACAAAGTAGAGTATAGCTTTTAAGACATCCTGAAGCTTTTTGGTTTGGTTTTATTTTTGATTTCAAAAGGTACAGACACCTTTTTTAAAAGTTTTTCAGAATTGTTGGAGCTCCCATTGTTATAATGGGTTTTCTAATTCAGCAAAATTCAAATCAGTTAAACCAAAACTGCCAGGTGCAATAACTAAATAGCTAGAAGTTGAAAAAACAATCTCCTCCAGTACATTGTATTTTTAGCACCTGGCAGGTCATCGAGTAACGCCGATAAGACATTATGACTTAACACTCAAAAAGTGCAGCCTAATCCTGATCTCTCTTTTTTTTTTTTTTTTTTTAACCTAACGATTTTATAATATACTGACAAAAAAAATCATTAGACGTTTACCCCAGAACACGGATTTCCATCTGTTGGATGAGCTCGTCATTTTCAGGGAAAAAGGACGGCTCATCTTTGCCATTATAAGGGTCTCTGGGAGGAGGAAGAGGAGGAGGAGGGGTGAACTCTGGAGGATCATCTTCCTCGTTTGACAGCTCTTTCCATGACTCCTTCAGCAAAAAAGAAATCCTTTTGAGTATTTGAAAACACCCTTTATATTAAGAAAACACTGGTAGACTTGTTTGAACAGTTTTCATGTATGGCAAATATAAGACTGACCACCGTGTGAAGAGTAGCACCACAGAGATGACTTACCTGCAGAGATGTATCTCCTTTGATGTATTTGGCACCTTCAATGACAGCGAGGTACGAGAAGCGAAGTTGATCTGCCGTCTGGATCAAACCCATTCGATGGCGTCTCATCTCCAGCAGCACATCGCGAATACGCACTGAAGACGGGTCCTTACGCATGGACATCTACATACAACAGCAAAAACATGCACACTTCAGCTTTGGCAGCTCTACTCTTAACTCTCTTCATCCATTGTGACATCATTGTGTACAGACCAATAAGAGGCAGGTGTCCACCAGACAGAAGGTCCCAGAGCGTCCGATGCCGGCACTGCAGTGCACCACCACTGCTCCCTGATCCGAGTTTAAACAACCCGACTCTCGCACCTTGAACAGAAAGTTAAGGAAGGAGGCGGGGGACTCTGGCACCCCAAAGTCAGGCCAGGTGGTGTAGTGGAAATGTAAAATCTCACGCGTCTCTCGAGTCTGGAAGGAAATGAAAGGACCTCGTATCTTGAAAAAGACATCGACTTTTTACGCACAGAAATGAGCTGTAAAAGATGAAAAGACTTACAGACAGATTTTCCAACTCCAGCTGACGGACTGTGTAGTAAGATTTGATGTCCTCTGAGACAAGAGTGAGCCTGAAATTGGTATCTTCAAAGATAGCATCTCTCTCCTCTCTGTGTGGCCAATATTGGGCACATTTAATCTTCCACAAAATGAAGAGAGAACAGCAAGAGAGAGCAGTGTTTTTATAGGGGCAGACAACACCATAGTACCCACATGGTAACACATTAAGAAGGCACACTGTACGGGGAGAGAAAACTACTGCTTACAGATCCTTTCTCTATGACTCTGTTCAGCATCACTACACCACGGGTCCTCTGCTCCCACACCATCTCCCAGAAGTGGCCACATGTATTTGGAAGGGGTCCCTGAAACAGAACGAACAGTGGATTTTAATTTTAGTGCGACTAAATTTAAACGGAGCATCTATTTAAAGATGAGGCATCTGATCTGCTACCTTTAAAGAAAGACACTTCAGCAGGGACAGTTGATTTGAATGTCTACCTCTTTGTCGTGATGCTAGCTTTTGTTTGATCGACTTTTTCTCTTCCTTTCACTGTCTAGCCAGCACAGTCTAGATGAGAGACGAGAATAGCCGATGGAAATACTGATACACTCCTCTGAGATACTCCCTAGCTTTATGAGTAGCAGTTAGTGACATACTTTTGAGCCACTGTTTGTCTCCAAGGATACACAGAAGTTGCACTTAGGGGAACATTGCAGGTAACATTAAATGCACGATATTGAATGTATGTTTTCTTCCCTGCTAGATGCAGAAGACGCACACGAACCAAAGTTGAAACAGTGAAACACAGCTGCCTCTGCACGTTTAAAATAAAAAGAGGATTCATAACATTACTTTGTGTAGCTGTGAGCAGATAACGGGTATTTTCGATGCTTATTAATGTACAGCAATTTCAACTTCCATTAGTAGAACTTTACAATTGCAATTCCACAACAGTGCAACAGCACAGTTCTGCCGTCATTACATCTTTGCACTTTAGTACTAACACAACGAGGTCCCAGCGTGTGGTTGCACACTGCGTTATGCCATTGTGGAAGTGCAACTGGCACAAAGTGTAAATACATGGCAGGAGCTTCACATACACACAAACGTGCTCATGTACACGTAGCTCTGTTCCGCCCATCTTCCCCCTATTAAGCCTTTGTTACCTACCTCTGATGGCGGATCAGGGGTGGAACAACTTCGCCCTAGAATTTCGCCTCCACGTGTTACACAAGCCCTTTTCATATTACCAGTTAAAGGCTGCTGAAACATCTGGCCTTCAATGTGAATGTCACAGAGGCGTGATGATGGGAACAAGTCGTTCCACCTTTGAGCAGGCATCAGAGGCAAGACGGGATCACTGTGAAGCAGCACTGTGCACATGTATGTGAGCAGGTCTGGGTGTATGTATATGTGAAGCCCCGGCTGTTTGTTAACACTGTGTTTCTGCAACGCTGTAGTGCAATAAGAAACCACAGTCTGGAACTCCTGCTGTTGAGGAATCGGTATGAAAGTACAAAGATGTAATGCCAGCGGGGCGGCATTATTATCATTGGCTAACACTAAAGCATCATATTTCATTGGCCATCCATTTAATGTTTACACACATTTAAGATTTATAAGGCACACCTAGCTAAAATAAATGCAGTCTAATACAACAGTCCTGCAATAAATCATAATACAGTAAATATTAGATGTTCAGTTTTTGTTTAAATAGAGGTTGTTGATTTAACTTAAGATCCTTCAGAGCATGTTGTTTGTAGTGCTGCTGAATTGTATTCTGTTAAAATTGTCCAAGTGTTTTTTTTTTCTCTACCTATGGCTTCCAAATCTTCCCATGTAGGATTTTCAAAAAGGCAACCACCACCCATTACCCCACACGGTAACAACTATTACCCAACATCAAAGACATTAGCAGGTATGTTGATTTTTTTTTCGACTGCATCATTTTTAGAGGAGAGCGCTGAAACATGTCCACGCTTACCTGAGTGAGAATATAGTGCCTCTGCGCCTCCTCTACTGCGGTCAGGCTGGCGTTGATGTAGTTGTTGGTACCCAGCTGCAGACATATTCTGCTGTGGTCGACTGAGGAGAAGAAGAACAAACAAAAAGTTTGTGTTTTTAATCTGCACTCAGGGGACTATAGATACAACACTTCTGTTTAGATCAAACGTTCTCGTCAGTGTTTGAGGAGAACACAGCTGTTTCCTTTGACTCTAATGCAGAGAAGACTTTAACCCTAAACAGGATGAATCCGTTCCAGGTTGCTGATTTTCACATCGCACTAAAGGTGACAGAAGCACGCTTCACAACATTTACAGTAACTATTTGCAAACCTGCCTGACTCTGTACATTTTGCATATATTTTTATTGTGATGGAGAAGAAACCAAACCACAAGCGGTTGGTTTGTTACTTCATGGGGAAATGTCTAACATGTAAAAGGTTCAGTTAGGAGTAGAGAATCTGACTCATGCAGCACTTATTTACCTCTACAGAGGCATCAAAGATCTGATGTAACGGTAGATCATGTGGGACTTTTTATACTTGCCAGTTTGACTGTGTTCTGGTCTCTCTTGTTTTCATTGCAATGCTCTCAGTGTCTCTTTGTGATAGAAATATTCATGCAAATAGCGTTTGAAGTAACCCTGACAAATTTACATTCATGTTGTCATTATTGATTCATGTTCAAAGTCTCTTTAAAAAACACTTATTAACACTCACTATTAACAAGAATACAAAAGATACTTATAGTTCATCAAAAGTCTACATAAAACCTATAGTCCATAAATCGAGTTTTAGAAAATGCTGCCAGGATTAATCTGCATGAAATGTGTGTATAGTGTGTCTGCCTTTGACAAGAAAAGTGATGTTTTTGAAGTCTTAAAATAGTTCAGATTGATGCAATTCTCTGCCTAGAGTGCAACAGTGACATAGCATTGCTTCAGATAAATATTAGCGTTGTTGCATCAGAGGTCAAACAGTATATATTTGCAGAACATAATCACTTGTGGGGCGACCCGACTTAGGTTCATCACTGATGCAACTCCAAAGAAAAAGCCACAGCTGGTGCAAATGTGCAAATCATAAATAGGTGACTATTCATTTAAAGGATCGTTTCACCACTTTAATACATACTCTGTCTGGCGTACACTTAGACAAAGAAAAGGGGCAACTTACATGGGCTGACATCTCTGTAACGATTTCGGTTCTTGTTCTCGGGTAATTTAGCAACCTTGCAAGGGAGTTCACATGACTGCTGACGAATATCCTGTGGGAAAGAAAATAACAAAATATAAATGAAAATCATTACATTAACATGGCATTGAAGGTCTGATGGAGCATGAATGATGCAGGTCCTGTTTTCACAGCTATAAGGAGTCTAAGTGTGTTAACAGGGTCTTAGTCATTGTTGTCTTTATATTTCTCATACATGATGTTGAAAAACCGCAATGACTCACTCTATACAGAGATAATGGCAAAATTCATTAAATGTCTCAACCTTTTTAGGGTTTAAGTGAAGGAGTGGTGTAAGACAGAATAAACAGTGAGGAATATCATGATGTCAGCTGATTCATTCTGAGCTTGTTATTAATGAGTGAGCATCATCTCCACTTCTAACAGGTTTATTTATAACAAGACACCAAATTAATCATTTATCGCCTGCAGATATAAGTCAAGAGATGGGACGCGCTGCTGGACTCAAACCCAGTCAGACATCAATCAACGGATTTGGTTAGACAGCAAGCGGAACAGAGACTGTGCAAGGCTCAGACTATGAAGGGTGACCTGCAGCTCACGGTTGCCTTGCTTATCGTTTGACGTAAGAATGACAGCCTGATCAACACAGTCCCATTTCCACCTTGATTTTTTTTTTTTCCAGGAGACCCCCCCCCCCCCCCCCCCCACCTACCTGATAAACGGCGCTCCAACTCCCGTTTTCATCGATTTCCCGAAACTCGGCTTCCATTGCAGACAGTCCAGCTGCCACTCCTTCGCCTTTTTCTTCTTCTTCCGTTCACTCTGATGTTGATAACCAAAGACCCCCCCCCTCCCACCCACCCACCCCCCTCTCAAGCAATCAAACAACTTGTACACTAAGCAGTGCCCTGACAACTGTCCCTCCGCTGTTTCTGTTATTCGCAGTAGGGCAGCATAGATTTGAGACAGTGATGCCTCTCTCTCGGCTCGGCCTGGTGTTAGCGGAAACGCGGCCGCTGGCTCCTCCTACACGGTGAAGCTGACAAACTCCGGTGGCTTAAAAAAAAAAAAAAAAAAAAAAAAAAAAGAGTAAAAAAAACTGTTTCTTTAAGGAGGTAATATTCCACTCTTGGTATCGAGGCGTAGCGGCAATTTGAGCGGTATTTGTTACACCCGGGTTTGTGTTTGTTTCCAGCAGATATTTACTTTACCGTTCTTACGGCAGCTGTAAAGACAGACCTGCGAGAGCGCGCGGAAGGCATTTTGATTCTGGAACGCTGCTGCGCATGCCCGCCGGCTCCGGGAGCGCGCACGTACTACGTAAGAACGCACACTATTACACCCGCTTTTTATTTACATTTTTAATATTATCTTTATTCAAGGTTTTTTTTTGTAATAAACATTTAACTAACTCTAACATTTCCAAGAATGTGTTACTCTCACTATCAGAGAAAAGAAAAATATATATATTAAAAAGGCTTTCAAGGGTAAACACGGTTCAACTATATATATATATATATATATATATATATATATATATATATATATATATATATACATATATATATATATAATTTTTATAATAATTCTTTATTTATCTATCATACTATGCACTGGCAGAGCTAGTATTTTGTACTGTTATCTATGAGTAACAGCTACTTATTCACATGGCCCATCCATACCACTTTTTTTTTATCCTGGCACATTATGTATTGTGGGCTCATGTTTTTTTGTATGGGTGGGATATGTTGTATATATGTGTTGTGTTGTGTGTTTGTATGTATGCTGGCTGCTGGAACACCTACATTTCCCTGCTGATATGAATAAAGTACATCTTATGCTAGCTTAACTTATAATAATAATGATAAGAGAAGGTGATAAAAAAAACAGTTTTTTGGTGGATATCTTCCTAAAGTACCATAAAAGTATAATGGCTTACGAATCTTTGCATTAGACCAGAAAAAGTTAGGGTAATAGGACATATACTTCTACCTTTTATTGTTTTGATTTGGTGAACTGACAACTGTTTTCTGTTTTGTGAAATCAGGTAACTTTGTTTCTTTGTTTTTTTGCAGCTATTCTTGTTTTGATATACTGTATAAATGAAATGTTCAAAGGGTAGGCATAATAAGCCTTGGCTTCATCCTACACCTTTTCGGCCATTGTTTTTTTTTTTATTATTATTGTTCGTGTATGTGTTATGCTTTGTGGTCATGGACCAAAATAAATATTTACTACTACTACCAGTACCTGATGCATACCATAGTATGTGATTTAAAAGAAGACACCTTTGTAACAAACCAGTACCCAATTAACTTAATATTTTCATTTAATTTGTAACCTAGAATAAAGATCATCTTACAGCAATTGATGAGCTTTATCCATGCAGTGAACAAAAAAGATTCACAGTAACAACTTTTTTATACATATTTTAAGGAATTATCTTAGATGGATGTGTAAGCCATACATCACAATAAAAGGTTAAAGGTCTTATACAATATCAGATTATTTGACATTTACAGCAATACGTACATATGCTGATAGAAATTACATATACACAAATTAATTTCTAAACATTTTCCAATTTTCCACTGAACAGCAATTGCTACTCAGTGAATGAATGATAATGATAATAAATAAATAGACAGTTGTGGTGACTGAAAGAATATATACAGTTATTATTTTGCAGTGACTGATTAATTAAAGAAATATAAATATAGAGATATAGTACAAATAAGTTATAGTGCAGTGAAAGAATATATAGTTAATATTGTGCAGTGACTGATTAATTAAACAAATATAAATATAGAGTTATAGTACAAATAAGTGAAGTTATAGTGCAGTGAAAGAATATATACAGTTATTATTGTGCAGTGACTGAATGAATGAATGAATAAATAAATAGACAGTTAAATGTTAAATTAAATTAAGGCTAAAATGTATCCAACTTCTATCTTATATTAACGTTTTAGCTCTTTTTCACACATGGTGCTAGACTACATTTTATATTTATTAGATGTTACTTGGTAACGCTCGTTTGCTTAATCAGGCGTCGTTGTAAATAAAGTTTTATTGAAAGCAAAAAAAAAAAAAAAACCCTTGTACCGTACCCTCACGTAATGCTTGCGTGTTTACGTCCACTGCGTGAAGCCTGCCGCTGTGACCTGCTGCTGTGAAGTCAACGAAATATTCTAGGTGGTAAAAACGCGTGTCGGTGGTGATGATGATGATGATGTGGAGTTGTTTTTGAAATATCAGACATCTGTAGTGTTCGAGGAGGCCGCGCGTAGTGTGACCTAGCGGAGGTCACGATGGATTAGCTTTTTTAGTTCAATGGCTTTTTTTTTTTTTTTTTTTTTCAGGCAGTGTGACTGACAGCAAGAACTGGGACAAGGGACTTTGTGGCTCCTAACGTTAGCTAGCAACGCAACTTAGCTAAACGTGTTTTTGAATTACCGCAGCGACAGGTATTAAGTCAATTCATGACAAGTTCTTGTGTGTGAGTGTGTGTGTGCGTGTGTGTGTGTCGCTTCTTGTGTTGTCTTCTTCTGGCACGCCAGCTCACTTTATTACGGCTGTGTTTTTTCCCTAGTTGTTGTTGTTGTTGTTGTTGTTGTCGTCGTCTAGCGTTGGCGTTAGCCCTCAGCTGTCTGCTTTGCTAATGTGTAGCTATAGTTATTATTGCCTCCCAGTGGTGGAAAAAGTGTTCAAATCTTTTAACGGTAAGTTGCATTAGCAGTCCTTCAATGCAAAATGTCTTGTTTAAAAATGAAAGAAGCTGCACTCAAAATGCACAGAAGTCACACATGCACATAGCACATGCTGTGTTTTAACTAAAAGTCCTGTTGCTGGTGAAATGCACCTTCTTTCTTCTCTTTTTTTTGGATTAATTTACTTAATATGATGCATGATAAATTCTTAAGATGCTCCCAGACCAGTGATTTCATTTTGTAAAAAAAGTGTCACAAACTGAGCATCCTCAAGCTAAGTTCCAACACTTCTAAACAATGCTGTCAGTACATGAATTAACTTCACATCTTTGTTTCTGAGTGCTTCTTAACTTCTCCCCCAAGTCCTCTGTTTAACACTTTAACAAGTCTTCCTTAAAGCACAGATAAACAAACACTCCCTAACCAGATGATTACAGATACACTAAAGAGCCGTTTGTACAAATGATCGTAGCAGCGCTTGATTTCTTTTTTTCCACATCTGTTTTAGATTCCTTGAGTAGTTTGAGATCCTTGAAAGACTCGCCAGGCAGCATGGCTCCCAAGGACATCATGACCAACTCCCACGCAAAATCCATCCTCAACGCAATGAACGCACTTCGGAAGAGCAACACACTCTGCGATATCACTCTGAGGGTGGAAAACACAGATTTCCCGGCTCACCGGATTGTCTTGGCCGCCTGCAGCGACTACTTTTGTGCCATGTTCACCAGCGAGGTAAAAAAAAAAAAAGAAGACACTTTGAATCATGACTTTATGTTTTCTCCACAAGTATGGCTGGATAGATTTTAAAGCTTAAGTGAAAATATGTCTTATTACTTCTGAATAGTATCTGTTTATTCTTTGTGGTTGTGTTTGTTGATACAATTCAGAGAATTGCTTCTGAACAATGCCCACTGTTTGTGACTTATCCCTTAACGATGTATTTCTTGTGATTCCACCTGACTGTGTCTGTTTGTGTGGCTCTAGCTTGCAGAGAAGGGGAAATCCTTTGTGGACATCCAGGGGCTCACTGCTTCGACAATGGAGATCCTGCTGGACTTTGTCTACACAGAGACGGTTTTAGTCACAGTGGAGAATGTACAAGAGCTGCTCCCTGCTGCGTGCTTACTGCAGCTCAAAGGTAAGTTTAGGTGTTCCTTCTATGTACCATGATATGAAAATGAAAAATCGTTATTAGTCCAGGTAGAGGGTATCTGCAGGTCTTGAACTGCCTTGAAAGCATAGAACTATTTGACCTCATGCAACAGTCTTTATCAGGTACTGAATAGGTTTATGTTAATTTAGAAAACTCTTATTGTTGTGTGAAAGGTTTTGTTCCTCACGTGGTATTTATAGAGGAACTTCCAAATCACGTTTGTACGACTGAGTACCAGTTCACGTTAAATTAAAAGGTTCAACATTTCAGTGACTGATCAACCGCAGAGACAGAGACAGAGAGAGAGAGTGTGACATAAAGAAAGAAGGAGACTCTGTCAAATATGAGACTTGTTTCATACACATTATTAATATTCAGGGCCGTGACAAGCCACATTAGTTCCACTTTTCAAAGCTGGCCACAGGCAACACTTTCTGTAATAGCAACAATAACAACTACTTTATTAACAAAGCTGGCAAAGGCAGTACAGCTAAACCGGATCGAGCAGCCGGTTAATCACAGAATGTATCTAAAAGTGAACAAGTTTGATGGCAGGTACAGGTTTTATACTTTTGTGGTTTGTAAAATATTCTGAATAATTAATGTTGAAATTGAGAGGTTTAGACCTAATTTGTGCAACTGAAAATAGATTAATGTAATATTTTAGAGGAAACTTATGATCAAATGTCTCATAGAGTATTCTACCTTATTCCAGGGTTCCAGTATCAGTGTACATGTAAATGTTTCAAAGCCCTAGTTTGGAGAAATGAAACAACTCTAAACGTAAAGTGAGATGGCTGTGACTGTGGGATGTGGGTTGTGTCTCTTCTCTTGTGTATGAGTATGAGTCAGCGACGTAAGACCAGGAGAAAATACTGTTACTAGTGCACGCTACAGCAACTTTGAAATCTCATTGTCATCTTCAAACCTTCAATAAATGAATCATTTTAAATTAAATCCCATCAGTTCATCCTTTTAT